CCTTGTGGTATTGAAAATGGTATCGAGTATTGAATATTTTCTTGAGTATCGGTATCAAGTTGAGAATGATAGTATCGTGACAACCCTAGTTTGAGCTCAATTTTGGAAAATACACACCCTAATGAAAGCGTTTGTGTCGAGTAACTAAAGGTCCATCACCCGTGGTGGGGGATGTTAGAGTTTCCCCACCAACATTCATCACAAAGTTACACCCTTTGTCTGTGGATACTGATTTTTAGGGATCCAAATACAATTTGATTAATAATATCTTTTTGCTTTGTATAAAGTGTAGCTCTGTCTTTTCTCTTTGCTCAGAATCAGTCTTAGACTTAGACAAGCTTTATTGTAAAATTGCGTTTAGTACAGCCTTCAGGCAGTAAATTAACATTTCAATTCCATAAAATGGAGCAGTGATCAAATGTAAACAGAGGGGGGAGAAAAAACATGGCGCAAAAGCAAGGATTGACATGGGAGTTTAGAGCAGTAATATATGGTGCAAATATGCAGTATTTTTGGATTGTGGTGTTTTCAGTGTAATGCAGAGTTTGTGACGTGATTCAGAGGTTTCTTTTTTTTTTTTACCAACAGTTCAGCTGTCTGATGGCAGTGGGGAAGAAACTGTTGCAGAATCTGCTTCAACAGACTGCTGCAACAGTCTGTATCCATGGAGGGATGAAACATCCTGGTTTGTTAAGAGTACAGAGTAACATTATATACTTGAATACAGTAATTACTAATGACAGGCGGGGATAGTTACCTTTGCCAGGTTGACACTAATGTGTTCTGTTGTGTTTGTGTTGTCAAGGCAACACTTCTGGATTATGCTGACATTTATTCAGGATTATTGACAACTTTCTGTAGTCTTTTTTTAATGAAAAAAAAGCAAAAAGAACATGTTTAATAAGATATTCTAACTAATACTGAATAACCTGACACCTTCAGAATTCAGATGGTTTAGGATTTATATTTACAGCTATCCAAAAATTGGTTATAAAAACAACAATAATCAGAAAAATGTTGCTTCAGTTGAAGTCAGAGGTCGGGAGAGAATGGGAACACTGGTTTGAGATTTTGAAAAAGCAACAGTTGCTCACTTGTTTTAATAAGAGTGTGCAGAATACCATCAGGATTAGCTTTAAACGGTGCATACAAACAAGGAATTTGATTTCTGTTCCACCTTGCCTCTTCATGAAGATGCTTTGAATACAGATACACAAAAACATTATTAAATATGTCCGACATCAACAAATTTTTATAAGGGTGGCCAGGCAATAACTAATGTACACTGAATAGGGGTGGGTGAAAGTAGATAGGCACCAGAACCTCAGGGTCAATCTACACTGTTCCAATAGGAAAATTAACGGGCAAAACATCCATATTTTCTAAATAAAGGCAAACTATACTTTCCTACAGCCTTTGCTAACAAGTAGACGCATATATTTAAACATCCGTAATTTCTAGATAAAAGGTATAGTGTATAAAACTCTTTTAGTTTCGAGTTCTGGGGCGTAAATCTTTTCCATTGTCATTACTTACCTACTTGTATTAATTAAAATTGTGCATAAAACTGATCTTTACAAGCATTTATATCTACATAAATTGATTATTCGATAAGTTTTTTTTATCTTGCTATTTATCTATGTTTTAGTATATTAATTTGTATAATTAACCACAAAAAAATTAAATCCATTTGAGAGTACGACTGCTGCCACCATCTGTATTAGAGGGAAAAAATGGTAGGGGTGGCCACAGGAGTGGCTAACAATTGCCTAATGGTGGCCATGGCCACCCCTGGCCCCCCATATAGCTCCGCCCCTGTGCAAGCATACGGTCTTAAACAGCAAAAGACCACACAGGGTCCCAGAGCCAACAGCAAATCAGAAATTGTTAAAACATGGTTAGAAAATGCAATTCCCATCTAGATAAGTCTTGATTTCAGTTTTAACCTTTAGGGCTCTAAAAAGGGTGTAAACAAAAAGAAGGTGTGGATCCATTCTGTCTGAATTACAGGTCAGACTGGTGTCAATGGTGGGATGCTGTGGGAATATTTCAGACTCCCTTAAACCTAACTTTGGCCCCAGAGTCTAAATAATATTGCATCTGACCACAGCTGTATATCTAAAACCATAGTTTAACCATCTTCTGATCGCTGCCTCCATCAGCATAGAAAAAAATAATATGCTGGTTTCTCGATCATGACAATGAGTTCAACCAACCAGATCTCATTCTAGAAGAACAGAGATGTGACAGAAAATCTTTTTTTTTCTTTTTTGACACCCTGTTGAATCTATGCAACAAAGAATTAAGGCAGGATTGTAGGCCTACCTATCAAAGTCTCCAGTTAGCGCCGGTTAATGCAGAAATTTTGTTAAGTCTTTTTTAACTCATTCCACTACCAAAGTCCAACAGGCTTATTGCTTATTACCCCCAAGGTTTCCTGATATGAGAGTTTATTTATGACTTCAATGCCACAAGAACAACTACAAATATCCAAACACCACAGCCATAAAAAACATAAAAGCATAAGTTACTTCTAGACAAAAAGCCTGTACATACATGCGCGTGCATGCCTCTGTGGTTATTTATGTGTGTGCGTCAACCAAGGCAAAGACTCAAAGGACAAAAGTTCAGCACAAAAGTAGGCAATTATAGAGAACAAGCCTGGACATGTCATGGCCTATAACAATCCCAGGAAATCAGTCTCTACCTATATGTAAATGTATAAGCTGTGCTTTAAAATCACTCCATGGTACATTCTGCTACTTTCTTATGCAATGCAAGTTTTAATAGATGTAATTTGTCACTGTCTTTGAGTTTTGTATGAATTTCTTAATAACTTTATAACAACATTTGATTTATTTATTTAACCCATGTTCCAGAACATTGTATAAAACAGATGCAAATCTCTGTGTTTTTTTTATGAAAATATAATATTCTGTTCCTGTTTATGTTTGTGCTGAATATGTTGGAGCTTAATTTGAGAGCGGTGACCTGAACGGGCCATCTAGTGGTGATAAAAGGTACTACAGTTAAAATTTTGTAGCATGCGTCAGAGGATAGTTTGTCCTTTGTCGCCATCGACTGGATATAATGTGTAATAGCAAGCGTTTACCCCCAAATGTAACTATTCTATTGCAGCATGAGTTATTTTATTTAATAATACAAATTAATGGAGACTGCTGGATTTGTAAATAAGTAATAATAAAATAACAAACAGCGCCTCGTTGTGTTTAACATTTTTTTATTTATATATATTTTGCTAATAATTCAGTTATGTTTTTTCTGTTTTAATAAAGTCGAAATCGATCAGTCAGTAGAAGATTAACAACTCTGAAACCGACATTTCTGTGTTTCCAACCGGAACTTTTCCAGCTGCTGTCTCTTTAAGGGATCCGTGCGATAGATCTGCAGTGGGAAACCATCGTGATATGTCCACGGCTCCTGGAAATTACACTTTAAACTAGGATCCCCGCCAGATTGGGGTCAGACACTGAGCAGCTGATGCGCCCATGCCGTCCTCTGCAGTGCAGGAAGCAGGTCAGAGATGCGGTGCTGATGCTGATGCTGCCACCCCTGCTCTGTGTGAGTATCAGCCTCTCTTTCCAATGCGGCACCAACATCAGCTGGGAGGATAGGACACCGGATAATGAGATTTATCTCCGAATATTTACAGATCAAGCAGCAATGCGTAGATAGGCAAGATAAATTCCTCTGTACATTAGGGAGGGTCTGGAATTATAAACTGTTGTAAGTTTTAACTCAAGATATTTTACAGCAATAACGCTTTTTGAAACGCGTAACTGTGTTGGGACCACATGTGTGTGTGTTCCCTGGAAATCTGAAGTGATTTTGAGCAGACCTGGTGTTTAGATGCTGGGAGACCTTGACTTTCAGGTGATGATGTCACTCCCCTGCTGCAGACTTCAGGATTTTAGTTCTGCGTTTCTAACTTAAAGCAAATAAAATCTGAGTGCACTGCCGGTGTAGAAATACTATCTTTAAGCTATATGACAAACAACTAACATGACGAAAAATTATTAAGATCATGTTTTATGAGCTAAAGACAATTTTTGTGATAACTGGCTTAAAAATGCGTCATGATTGGGAAAGGCCCTCCTCTCTGATGCTGGGTCTCGGCTACAAAGTTAGTGTGCGCATCTTTTTGACTGCAGTGTTCTGACGACTGAACCATAGGAGTTGCCTACAACTCCCAGCATGCAACAGCAATGGACCTTTCGGCTACCGTGTAATACTTTTCTTCACCAGGAGATATGTATATAGATATATAGGTATACATATAAATAAACCAATAAATCTATATACATATCATATACGTCCATATATATATATATATATATATATATATATATATATATATATATATATATATATATATATATATATATATATATATATATATATATATATGGACGTATATGATATGTATATATATATATATATATATATATGGACGTATATGATATGTATATATATATATATATATATATATATATATATATAAATATATATATATATATATATATATATATATATATATATATATATATATATATATATATATATATATATATGGACGTATATGATATGTATATAGATTTATTGGTTTATTTATATGTATATCTATATACATGCATACATACATACATACATACATACATACATACAGATAGATAGATAGATAGAAATTATTACACTAAATAAAAATGTAACAATTAAATGCGATTATTTTCTTGTACACTAAGATTTTGTAGGCGAAGCTCGGAGAGCAGGAATATGTGGATTAGTTTAACAGTACAAAAAAAAGTACAAATTTGACAATATCCAACAATTGAAAATATTAGTAATATAAATGCTAAGAATTGAAAATCAATCTAACAGTAAATTTGGTGAATTTTAATGACGTAAATCAAAAATCTGAAAGAAGCTGAGAAGGTTCGGGACGATGCGGGAGTGACGCGGGGGTGAATCCTCTTGCTCCATCTCCGGTCGCTCTGCTCTCTGCCGCGCTGTGTAATTCATTATTATTAGAACATGGCCTTTGAAGGAGTTACGCTGTTACTGAACGGGAATTAACCATGTCGCTTGCTATTGTTGTTATGGTTTCCAGAAGTCGTTGGGCTTTCAGATGTGTTTGCAGAGAAGAACCGCAACCTGCGCTCTCAGGATAGAAACAAGTGAGTGGGCTTTGGTAGGATAAGGACGGACTTAACAGCACCTAATAAACAACTCCACATACCCCTATATCTTATACGGGTATATCTTATATTATTTATAATTGTTGATAAAACATGCAAAAAGGCTTTTATGAGTGTGTTGTTTTGACTGGATATCGTTACTGAGGTAAATAACGGTTGTTTTTCTCGCCTCACTGCAGCCGTTTTCCCGGCGCTGTATCCCTGCGCCCGGCGGAGGAGATAGTCAAATGAAAGTGTCTGAGCTGGGACACAAAACAGCAGCGACATGGCAAACTGTGCAGACCCGTGGTGAGTTCACAAAAATTATTCCTGCCAGCATCAAACACACTGGATAGACTGGGTGCTCTGAACAGAGGAGCCTGAGGATGTGTCAGCATTTCTGTTTGATTGCTGAGTGGGTTTATTTGGCTGTAGTTTACTCAGATCTGCAGTGGATTTGTTGTAAGCTGAGGAGGATATGATCCATCCTCTGGTGAAGCTGCTGCCACACCCACCCTCCTCCACCACTGCACTGTGTGGGTCCTGCACCCTGCTGCTGGATGTGCGAGAATATTTACTTTTATTGCTGTTGCAAACTTCTGCACCTGTCTTATATAAATAAAACATCTTCTCTCTGTGATAAACCAACCTTTGAGTGGAACATTTAAACAATGTGTTCAGGTGCGGAGTTAATTTTTGTACTATGCCTTTCAAAAGTATTCCTACCCCTTGAATTTTTTGTCATTCTGTCATGTTACTCCAACATATCATACATGACGGTTTGTTGAAAATAATTGTGAAGAAAATTAAATACGTTTTCCAGACTTTCTGCACCTCTTAAGAAAATTCACTACTTGGCTTTAAATATGTTTTACACTGAAAAAAACTTTATCCTTTGGGAAGTATTGCTGCCATCTTTGTACATCTACAGGGTGAATTTTTTTTGCACTTTTGTCTTTTGGAACTGACCTAAGCTCAGTTAGATAGGCTGGAGGTCATCTGTGAACAGAGGCGTAGCCAGAACATTTTTATAAGGGTGGCCAGACAATAACTGATGTACACTGAGAGGTGGCCGAATGTTGATAGGCACCAGAACCTCAGGGTCAATCTACAACAGCAAATTAATGGGCACAACATCTATATTTTCTAAATAAAGACAAACTGTACTTTCCTACAACCTTTGCTGACAAATAGACGCATAAATATTTAAACATATGTGCTTTCTAGATAAAAGGTATAGTGGATAAAATTCTTTCAGGTTTAAATTCTGGGGCAAACATCTTTTCCATTGTCATTACTGCATAAAATTGATATTTACAAGTACTAATATCTACGTAAATTGATTATTTAATAGGTTTTATTAAAATAGTTATTTATCAACAATTTTACTGAAAACTCTTAGATGACCTGTAGAGATACATGCATTTCTCTTTACCCCATAAAACAAAATCTACTTCTGAACAGAGCATGAATTCTTTACTTATCGTCTTTAATGTTAGTATATTGATATGCATAATTAACCACAGTGTTTTTGTTGTCAAGTAATTGTTAATATCTGAAAAATTTAAATGTTTTGAATATTCCACTTGATAGTATTACTGCTGTCACCATCTGTATTAGAGGGAAAAATAGTAGGGGTGGGGTGGCCAATGATTGGCTAAGGGTGGCCATGGCCACCCCTGGACCCCTATCTAGCTCCGCCCCTGTCTGTGAAGAGCGATTCACCATAGATAGTATATTTCCTGTTAGGTGTGAACTTTGATTAGACAACTTTCACACATAAATATTTGATTTACACTAGTGCAACACAAAATATTCACAGTAATCATCACAGCATCAGTGTTACTGTTCATGCAATGAAAAATGACTCCCTGGATGTAATATTCAATTCCCTTTTTTATATAAAGTGACATTAATGAATGCTGTGCATACTCTGCCTCTTGAGAGGTCTGTAAAAAAATATTTCTTTTGGCATATTAGAAGTTTGTGTGCACATTAGTTAACAGTAAGAACAACAACTACAGTATGAAGAAAGCAAGTTTAAAAGAGATACAGGACGCGATTAAAAATAGGGTAGTAGTAATATATGAATATGCTTTTTTGATGCTATAAATAAATAAGGAATGCATGCTATCCTAGTGCTAAAAACATAGCTGTTCCAGAACAGTGTCTGAACATCCTGCCTGAACACCATGTTCAGCAAGTTCACCAGAGAAAGATCTGTAATGGACACTGTGCTTTATAACACTTCCCTGAGTATCCTGTGACCAGGATGTGTGCGATCTGCAGAGATGTTAGCTACTATTTTATTGGCCCTGGATGTATACAGCATGTGGATGGAGGGGAGATGAACCCGATGCTCCTCTCTGCATACCGAATTGTTTGTTGCAGTTTGAACCTGTTCTGCTTTGTAGATGAGCCAAACTATTCAGATATGACTCTGCAGATTTAATGGATGACCAGAGGTTCATTTGGAAGGTTTTACTTCCTGTTTTGCTGCAGGACGTCTGTGCTGGGTCTCCTTTCAAATAGAATCTATATAAGAGGACCACCTAATGTTACGATAGAGGATGCTACTTTTAAACCAGAAGTTGTCACCTCCACCTGTCAGCCCTCATTTCTGTCAATCCAACCTCAGTTTCACATACCGGTACTTCTTCCATAAAAGCATATTTTGTAGAGTGCAACCTGCTTTTAGTTTTAATTGGTCAGCCATGTCTTGGTGGGTCTGGAGTTATACATTTTCCCTTCTGTCTTGCATTTGTATGGTGTTTCCTGTGCAACATCTTCCCAGTTTGTTACAATGAGATTAAAATCCAGGTTACATGAGGGGGTTCTGAAGACATTTGGTTCTGTTCAGAGATCTCAGAGCAAAGAGGGTAAAAAAATAAATAAATACTCAACTTTGCATATTTTTTTGTAAGGAAACATTAAAGCTATGCATGCGTTTATTGTGCACCACTTGATGTTGCTGTGTCACAGGAAATCCCAATCAAATAGAATGATGTGAGGAACTTTTAGGGAGATGAATCCTTAAGCTCTCTATGCCATATATAAGCTGCAGAGATGCTTGTAACAGATGCTTCTGTTGGCAGCCATGCTCATGTTTCCTCCAGCCTTTTAGGTTAAATCAATATTGATGTAACTAAGACTACTGTCCTCTACCCCCGTGATCAGATTTGGTAACTGATTTATTTTTTTATTTTTTTACCTCCGGTTCATCTTCTGCTCAGAGGACTGGTTTAAAATCTAAATGAATTTAGATAAGTCAAACCCTTGTAATAATATGATCTTTTATCTGAATGATCTATGTGTTGTTGTTTTTTTAGGGTGCCATGGGTCACAGTTAGTCATGAGTGCATCGGGCCAAGGTCCTACCAGGTGTCCCCCTTCACATCTGTCCAAGATGTCAAACAGATGCTGTACGAGGAGACGAACCTCCCAGTCAAAGAGCAGCGGCTGCTTCACAATGGAAGAATGGTGAGGGGGGTGTTTGCTTCTTCTTCTGTTACATATTTGTGAAGAGACAGATGCAACATTCAGGAAACTTTTTCTTTTTTTTCTTTTTTTTTATGTAATCCATTTTTTTCCTGTCCCAAGAACATTTTACCAATGTTATTAAAAAAAGAATCCAGGAGAGGAACTGTGGATATTTTGCTCCATGATAGATAATTGAAATCATCACATAACTGTTTCTTTTGAAATGATCTCATGATGCAGCTGCAGCTCAGATACTGTGACGCTGGCAGACACTCTTCCATTGTTAGAAGTGCCTTTAGATTTCCCTGAGGTATTTATTATGTGCTGTTTCTACAAACCACCAACCAAGTCTTTCAGGGTTATTGATCTCATGACCAACTCGAGATCAGCAAAGGTCAGCATGTATCTCTATCTATTGATTTATCACCAGCTGATTATTCAGAATATATATGCAGCACAACGCACAAAACAAGTTGCACATTTCAGCTGTCTATTAGTAAACTTAGTGGATTCTGTATTTTTTTTTTTCTTTTTTGTTTCTAAATCAGTGCCATTATACTCTTACTATAATAGCAGCTGACCTTGGATCTGAGTTTGCCTGATTGAAAGCGCCAGGTGGGCCCACCACTACACCAAGAGGAGGCTGCAAACTAAATTTGAAGAGTTTTGAAATCTTCATTAGTCTTTATTTTTATTTTGTTATGACTTCTGATTTAAAATGTCTTTTTTTGTTTTAATTCATTCATTTGTTGGCTAGTTTAGTTTAGATTTTTTGAAAACGCTTAGTTTCAGTTATCGTTTAATTCTCTCATTTAGTACAAGTTACATACACAAAGGAAGACAAAAAAAAAAAAAATGCAAATAAAATCCGACATCAGGACAGACCGCTGCAGCAGCACAAATGATCTGCTCACAGTACAGTGAAAATAAGCTAAATCAGTAGCTGGAAGCTTAGACAGATTTTATTTTTTCATTTTGTACACACAAGTGTAAACAAAAAGAAATTTCATTAAGAACAGCTCTCTGGGCTATTTCATTTTTTTAAAGTGCAGCCTTGATAATGTAAGCAGCAGTGATAAAAACATTATGATGGAAAAAGAAAGTGATGAAATCATAAAACTTTACAGTTACAGTTCCAACATTCAGGTTTTTTTTATTTTTATATAATCCATTTTACATAACATTTAACAGTCTAATGGCAGTAGGGAAGCAACTGTTCCTGAATCTGCTGGACCTGCATCGGATGCTTGGACTAGACATCGGAAACTAGACCACATATTGATGCATTATGCTAAAGACACAAATGAAAACAAACATCCTTTCTTAAAATTCATTTATTTTTAATTAGTTTTATGAACTTATTACAGTTTCAGTTAGGTTTTGTTTTTTATGCACGCTCTTGATCTAATTTTTATATCAGTTAACAAAAAGGCTTTTTAATTCTAGTTGTCATGTAATTAGTTTTAGTTAATTATAATAATCTTGCCTTGGGTGTTTTAATATGAAATTAAGTCTCAGTCTTTAGTTAAAGGTGACAGCTACAATTTTAATTCCTCCCGGCCAGTAAGTGGCGCCAACTCTTGAATTTTACCTTTGCCAGGTCCACCATACTTTTACCTCACCTGCCTACCAGGAAAGCAAGAACCTCCGTGTGGCGTCTGCGCTCCTTTGCTTCCTTAAGTCAGCACAGTGCTCAAAAGCTTGACATTTTTTTTGCTCTATCCAATGATCTACTGCAATCTGGCAACACCTGAGCTCCATCTCACATAACTTAAAGCTACTATTCCCATTTCCCTCACCTGCCTGCTGTGGTCCTTAATGCTTTAGCTTCACTAATGATCTCCAACGCACCACTGAATCCTCCATAGAACATCCAGATTTATAAGTTACATGCAGAATGAGCCCATTTACGTTTATGGTAAATTCTCAAGACATTTTTCAGAATAAAAGGGACAGATTAAATTTCTAAGTCATGCCTTTAAGATTCTTATTTTTGGGAAAAGTCTGCTTTTAGTTTTTCGCTTTAAATGCAGATGAAATACACAAACGCTTGTGGTTAAAAAAGGACACAATAGGGAAATCTTTAAGGGTCGTGATTAAATCTTTATTTAAGGCACTGTTTTGGAGAGTATTTAGGATTCAGTGTTTAATGCCTCTCAACAGTTTTATAATTAAATGCCTCTTTAGTAGTTTTAATTTAGGGGGGATTGTTGAGAAAAAACGTCTTGTAAATATTGTAGCCGAGCCCTGTCCAGTCATATGTTCGGTCATTATAACCACTATCCATCCTCCCTAAAACAATTCATTTATGGTAAGCACTTAACATCAACCTTCTTTTAAATATTTATCTGTCTTTGTTCTAATAACCCTGTAATTATTACTGCATGATGCGGGTGATAGCTGAGGATGCTTCCTCTGTGCAGCTGAGTTTGCCTTGCAGCACCTTAAAGCTAAAGAGTGCTGAGTGCAGCGGCTCACAGTGTCACCTTGAACGGCCACGACTGGCTGCAGCTCTGACAGACTTTCTGCCATGCTGCCGCATCGATTCTGAAACAAGCACGAGGAAAAGATTGTTTATCACCCAGACTGCAATAATCCCTCATACTGATTTACAAGCAGCTGTGACCTCTTCAGTCGTTGAAATAAATTATTTTGAGACACAGTCTTTTCACTATTCTGTTTTTGTTTAAAGAAGTCAGCTTGATCTAAACCTAGTATTGTTACATTAAGCTGCTGTTATTTTTCATTATATATATTAGGGAGTATATATTTATATATGATAACTGAACTCCTCTTATTAATTTAAGTTGTTCTGTCTCTCTGTCTGCTGTAGCTGGATGATAAAGTGCAGATTGGCAGCCTGGTTCCTGCAGGAAGCCCAGTCATCTCAGTGACCCTGGAGGGAAGAGGCCTTAAAGGAGGAGGTGAAATTGTAAAATCTGCAATGAAACATTCATTTTATTAGCACAGCCTAAAAATTCTGATGCATTACAGGGAGATTTGGACAAACAACACCTCCACTGGTGGAGTTTTTGAAGGATATTCTCAGAAGATACCCAGAAGGGGGGCAGATTCTGAAGGTAAGTGTGTTTGACTTCTTGAGTTACTGCTGATTATTTCCACCACCCTGTACTTTTATTGAAATATCTGGATAAAATTATGTAAAAAAAAATACATCAATAAAAACCTTTTTTTTTGTTTTTGCTATACAGAAATCTTAAACCGAAAAAAAGCATAACAAAACCTTAACCAGAAATATGTTCAGCTGGGATAAAAGGACCAAATTTATTCAATAAACATCCACAGCCTGCTGTTAATACTTTAGTGCAACCACAAATGACCCATTTTCCATTTCAAACAGGCCCCCTGCATCACAGACCCTCCACCATACTTTACAGATTATACATGGGGGATTTTATTTCACATAGCTGTTTTTTATTTCTCACCAGAATCACCTGAACAGTCTGTTCAGTCAGGAGTCATACCCAAAATCTAAAAATCCGAAATCTGTATAGGGGATCATAGGAACTTTGTGGGCCTAAACAAACTGCATAATCAAAAACAGGAGCTCTGACATGAGCAGATCTATAAAATACTGCCTGGTCTTTTTCCCATACCCTATAATCTTCCATAATATCTCTCCATCACAATCTTCACCCTAGCTGTCTAAATGCATTCAGTCTTCCTGATATCAGATTATGCCTGTTAACATATTACTATGATTGGATGGCTGTTGAAGGATCAGGCAGTTGTGCTGCTCTGCTCACAACAGGAACATTTGTGTTGCTGATGTCTTTGCTCTGTATGTTATCACTTCCTGACTTACCCTTTCATTTAATGCTTGTTATGGCTCTACCACCTATGGAGGCCTAACAGCGGGGGCTCCGCTTTGATTCCCCATTCCTGGCCAGGTCTCCCTTTTAAAAGGAAAAGCAAAAGAGCAAAATGTTCGTCTCAACCGAATTCCTGGTTACCTGCAGGTTAAATAAACAGGCAACTAAAATAAAATTCCCTTTCATTTGTCAGCAAATTATTTCAGCTGTTTCTGTGGCATTTAGCAAACTTGCAAAATACAAACACATTTGTTTCATTTGAAATAGTGGAACAGAAGTTATGTCCAGTATGCCTCTCAGTTATTTTAAGCGTATTTATCTCTGCTCTTGCTATAAATGCACAGATTTAGATTAGTGGCAACTCTCTTGCAGCCATTTTCTTAACTGAAAATTACCATATTGAAAAGTTAGGCTGTGAAACAACATCTTGAGATTTTAACTTCTCACAGAGCACTTTTATTTGAATTACTTTCAAACTATTAAGGTTATGTTTAAATGGGGCTGAATTTAAATTTGGGCTTTTTACTCTTCTGATCCTTATTTCAAATGAGTACAAATAAAATACTAATCAATGATTATTGATCTTAACTGGTTCGAAAGGTTATATCAAATAAGTACAATTTTTTACAAGCTCATGTCCACAAAGTGTTCCATACAAGCAATTTCATGTACACGGTGGTGGCAGCATCATGCCAGTCAGAGTGGATTGACTGGACTGGATTGAAATGATAATGAATTAAATACAGGGCAGTCTTGTTGAAAAAAAACAACAAATAACCCTAGAGGCAACAAAAGACTTGAGATTGGATCAAAGGTTCACCTTGTAGAGCCTGAAGGTAAAGCCAGGCTGCTTTGGTGAAAAATGTGTTAATTGTTAGATGTAACACAGTCAATGTTCTGAACTTGGATTGGGAATCTCTGGCCAGATTTTAGTTTCTAGATGCGAACGCACCATAAGAACTTGCTGCTGTTTTTGAAGCCAAAGTTGCCTCTACAGGACATCAACCTCGGGGGCTGAATACAAATATACAGGTTACTTTTCATAAAACATCTTAAATATCCTAGAGAATTTGTCTCCTGTTTTACAATTATACACTGCTGCTGTTTCACCACATAAAAAACCCCCAATTGAATACAAAAAATGTACAGTGCAACAAAGTGACATGCTATTTAATTACATTAGTTATTAATGAACGCTCCTCAAACAGCTCTGTCTGCTAATTTAGATACTTCTTCTATTTGAAACTACACTGTTTTTTTGGGGGATTTGTACTGAAATAGATGGCCAGTCTTAAACAGAAAGAAAGAACATTGTTATTGTTGGGCTTTGGTTTTTCTCCCGCAGGCTTAATTGTAAAATATAGTAACATTAACTAAATTAAGGCTTGATGTCCTAAATGGAGCCATCTACTCTAATTATCTGAGTTTTTTATCTTTTTTTTTTACTGCAGGGCTTTTTAGATAAAAGCATTGCTGAATAAATTGATAAGTTCACCTCATTTCTCTGTGATGATCCTTTATTTAATAATACTCGCCGTCGATCTGCTTCATTTGAAGGAGCTGATTCAGAATGCAGAGGATGCTGGAGCCACAGAAGTGAAGTTCTTATACGATGAGACAGAATACGGAGTGGAGTCCCTGTGGTCGCCAGACATGGCGCAGCATCAAGGTTAGCAATTATTAGATACATGAACAGGGCAGCGGAGCAATCATCTGGATTTCTCTTTAACATCTGATTTCCTATATCCTATCAACATTTTTTCTCCTTTGCTGTTTTATTATTTTAAAGTTTTTGTGGCTAATCCACTTCAGTGATCTCACCTTAAACTAATAACATGAATTTTTATTACTGTTAAAGTAAAGAATTGCAAACTACAGCCACACAATCTCCTGAACTGGTTGATGCTTTGGCCTGCAGGGCCTGCGCTGTATGTCTACAACGACGCTGTGTTCACGATGGAGGACTGGAACGGGATTCAGGAAATTGCAAGAAGCAGAAAAAGAGATGATCCACTAAAAGTTGGACGATTTGGCATTGGCTTCAATTCTGTCTATCATATTACAGGTGAGAGTTTTCCTTTATACGAAAATACTTATGTACAATTATGAGTGGGCGATATATTATATACATATATATATATATATATATATGTATATAATATACTCGATGTATCTCTAGTTTTCCCACTAACAATAGACAGTGACGACATTAAGCCGTCTGCATCTATTTCACTGAGTTTTATTTTTCCCACATACTTTGAATGCATCATAAACATCTCCTCCAAACAGGGTTCTTTTCTGCGCGGCATGCATGCACACTACAGCAACCGGCAAACAAAATATGGCTACAGCAGGTGATTCAGCTAAGCAATATACGGCAATGGTTTGAATTTCATGCTGAGTTGATCAAAAGGCACTAATTTGTAAGACCTGCCGCAAAAACCTTTGCTGCAAAAGGTAGGAGTACAAATGTATTCCACCACCTAAAAAGTCATCCGCTGCAAAATGAAGAATGTTGTAAACCCCGCACACCAATTAAAACGTTAAATAAATCAGCTGTGAAACCGATGACGTTGGTCTCGTCGTTTGATAAAGCGATCCCATATGAGAGAAAAAGGAAGAGATGGAGGGAAATCACAGATGCTATTTATTACGTTATTTAAATGTTTTTTAGATGCTCTAATACCTGTGATGTGATGTGATCTTGTTCAGAGGTTTTGCAGGCATTCTCTAAACTTGGCAATGTTCTCAAATTTACAACTTTTTGTGCTTTAAAATTCCCAGCATGTAAAGATCAGTGCAAATAATTTGGAGATGCTCTGTCAATGTTCTAATTTTTGGACAGTATTTCCACTTTTGTTTTTGTAATTTTAGGTCAATTTTTTTTTTTTTTATCTGCATTTATTTTTATCATGCACAAAAGAGCCCTTGTTTATTTTGCATTTTATTTAGTGTTAGTGTTTTTCTTTTTCTTTGTTTCTTGTTTTGTTGCTGGGATCTTGTAAAAGGTCCAATACTGACACCCAAAGCCATAATGTTCCGGAATTATAAGTGAAAAGCTTGAATACAAATTGTCTCTCTACTGAATTGAGAGTTTAATAAAAAATAAACTTGCCTTGCTTTCTGTCTCAGTATGTTGTTTATTCTCTTTTTCAGATGTTCCAAGTATATTCAGTGGAGACCAGATCGCCATGCTGGACCCCCATCAGACCCTCTTTGGGGTGAACGAGTCTGGCCAGTGTTGGAACTTGAAGACAGACATTAAGGAGATCACAGAGCGGAGTGATCAGTTTGCACCTTACACTGGGATATTTGGGATTTCTGAGAAAACCATCTGCGATGGCAGCTTTCCAGGAACTCTGTTCCGCTTCCCGCTTCGTGTGAAACCTTCCCTGCTCAGCGGGAACATTTACAACAAAGAGAAGGTTCTGGAGCTGTTTGAATCCTTCAAAGCTGATGCAGACACTGTGCTGCTCTTCCTAAAGAGTGTCCAGAAGATCTCGTTACATGTGCGAGAGTGTGACGGCACAGAACGAGTGTTGTTCCAGGTTACAGCAACAGAGAACCCTGATGATAAACTTGAAAAGCCAAATGCACTGAAGACACTGTGTCACGCTGTGGACAGCTACGGCAATGGGGTTCCTAGCTCCATCATCACATGTGTCACCTACCAGCTTCACATAGAGACTCAGGATGAAACATCTAAAGAGACTCAGAGGACCACATGGTTGGTTTGTAATGGAGTCGGAGGCAGAGGGATGTGTGCTGAGTTGGACTCCCTGGCAGACGATTTGAAGTTCATGCCAACTATCGGCATTGCCTTGCCTCTAACTGTGATAAGTAAAGAGGACAGAGGTGCCACATCTGGTTTCTCAGGACGAGCTTTCTGCTTTCTCCCTCTTCCACCAGGCGAGGAGAGTGAGATGGGGCTTCCGGTTCACGTGAGCGGCTTCTTCGGCCTCACTGACAACCGCAGGAGCATCAAGTGGAGAGAAGTGGACCAGTGGAGGGATCCAGCGGCCTTATGGAATGAGCTGCTTATAATAACAGTCATCCCTAATGCATATTTCACTCTTATAGTCGAGGCTATAAAGAGGGTGCAGACAAAAAAGGACCAAGACTTTCCTTTGTCCCCAACAGGGACGTATAGGGCATGGCCAGACCCCAAACAGGTGAAATCCCGTTGGATGCCTATTCTCCAACCGCTCTTCAATGAACTGCTTCAGCAGCAAATCATCTACTCCCTCAGTGAAAGCTGGATCAGAGTTGAACAGGCTGTTTTCTCAGAGCTGGACACAGATGATGACATTTCAGAGGCGGTCATCAACTACCTACAAAGCTCAGGAATACAGGTAGCAAAGGTCCCTGCTGCAGTGGAGTTTGTTTTGGCCTCCTACATGTCAGAGTCCACTGAGGTGAAGAAGGTTACTCCTTCTTTACTGCGGCAGACAATCAGGAAGTACAAACACAAAGGTCCCTCACAGGAGAAGCTGCTGCTGCTGGAGTTTGCTCTCAGTGATGCCAATTACAGTGATCTTATCGGACTCGAGCTTCTCCCACTTCAGGATGAGACATTCACCTCATTTTCATCATCTGTCAGTGAAAAAGACACCATTTACATTGCATCTGAGGCCTTCCCCAGGTAAGCTTCAGAATGAGAATCTAACTGTGTCAATTTCTCTTTGTTTGAAAGGTTTCTGAGTAAGAAGGGCAAAATGTGTATTTTGCTAGGAAAGTAGATTTCCCCATATTATCTAACCACTAATGAATCAGTGTTTATCTTATTTTATTTTTTATATAGTTTTAATGACTATTAGTGATAGTTATAGACTTATTAATTGTACCTCCATCCTGATTTCTTAAAGACCCATAAACTTTTTTGTCTTTTCTGGCATTAAATCAGACTAAACTTTTCCTGTTTTACCTCATTTTTAGTGCAAAACAAGATGAGCTATTTTTCAAATCTTTCTTCAAACTCAGAAAAGTTTGCACACATCTTTTTAGTATGTACATCTTAAAGACTTGGATCAACACCTTGCGGAAAGTTTGTCCCCATTCTGGCTCAACTATGCCAGGTTTGTAGACTGTGTTTCTCATACACAGCTCTTCAGCTCTGTCCATTAATTTCCTCTGATGTGTTCAGGGCTTGTTATGGCCACAGAAAATATAAACTTTGTTGCCATTAAGCTACTTTATCGCTAATCTGGCAGCTAATTCAGAAGACCTACGGATACCTGAGCCTCACCTTCATGGCTGATGTATCATGACTTTAATCAACATCTTCTTACTTGTTTCCTCATAATGTCATTTGTTTTGTTAAGCGGGCTAATCCATCTAGTGCAACATAAACCCTCAAAATGGTGCAGGCACCCCCATACTTCCCAGCTGGGAAGGTATTCCTTACGTAACGATTATCTTTGTGACATAAATTTCAATGTAATGGTTTATATCAGCTTCAGTCTCCATCTAAAGTTCACAGTTCTTTTTCCAGAAAGGTCTCATGTGCCCAAAATATTTAAAGGTATACTAATCTTGGTATATGTTTGGTTCATAGTTCTGGCATTCAGCAAATATGAAGCGATAGGGATAATTCTGACAGGACTAAACCAGTGAAGGTTTAATATAAGTGAGAAAAAACATAGTTAGTATTTGTTTATCGTTTGTATGAACCTAGAAACCAGGGAAGATTTCACCTGAAATTTTAAAAGTGGTACTTATTGCTCCTGCTGATCTCACTACTTTTTATGTACTTCCCTTTGCTTTATTCCAAGGTCTCTCTATCCAGGACTTGAGCATCGATTCTTACTGGAAACTGTGAAGCCCTCAGTGATGGACAGTTTAAAGAACGCTGCCAAAAGCAGAGGTAGCTAAACATTTTAATGTTTATCTTACAATCCATCTGTATAACAGATAGTAAATATTCTCTATGTTTTTATCTATCCATCCTTAATCCAACAATGGTTGGTTTATTGTAGATTTACAGCTTTGTACTCAGTTTCAGACTGTTCTATGGTGACTGTGTGATTTAGTTAGTTATAGCCTTGATATTTATTTGCACTTTTTAATCTTACTCAGCAGCATTGCCAAATGATGCATTACATTTGCTACACTGATGCTAAATAATTTAGGAAGAGATTAAGGTGAAGGAAATAGAGAGTAAGCATTATGCATGGAGAGTTTTTGGCTCAGGGTATACTAAAGTTTTTGAAAAGTTATCCATATAAAATCTAATGATGTGTTAAGGAAGCTCTTGCTGTGACTTGAGCCATTCAGCTGGTTGAAAAAAGGCTTCTGGCAAACTACTTAACCAACAAATATCAACTTTTTATGCATCTGCCAGTGTTACTTTTAATTGTAAAGAACAGCAAAGAGAGAAAATGTTCTACACAATAGGTATTTTAAAACCACAGCAGAATTTAATAGATGTTAAGTGGGCATCTATCCTATACTTCTTGCTCACATTACAATCAAAATAATCATTATTTTTATAAGTTTTACTATAATATAGTTATCAATATGCTACACTATAAACAATCTAGAAATAAGTAAATTTTTTTTAATCAAAAGTATTTACCCTTCATTTTAGTAGGTAAATGAGATGATTTGCCTATGGAATTAGTATTTTTACTCTTGAAATAATATATTTAGATAAAATGCACTTGACACAATTGTGTTTTCTTATTTTAAATGTAAATTGTCTTGTCCCATTGGCAGAATGTCTCTTTTACCTTCTCAATTCAAGGACAAACGCACTTATTTTAAGAAAAAGTTACTTATCTATATTTCAATTTTTTCCAGTGTACATTGATTTACCAACGATAGGAACACTCGTTAGTTCTCAGTTAAAGAAAGGGGAATAAATAATTTCAACTGTAAACATAGAAAGAATATTATAAGAGAAAAAACATTACACTAGTGTAGTCCCTCTATTCTTTCTTTTTTAATTTTAAATCATTTTTTCATTGTTGCTTTCACTTTGTAAGCTTTTAGATTGATCTCTCTACTGTTGTTGAGTTTAATACTGACATAATTCCCAGATAGAGTTTATTGTTTGTTTTTTTCTAGTGAAAGAGTTATGTTCATTTTCCAATCATTTTTCATTTAAATTACAGTACAGCAGTTTCTTTGGGGATGTTCGGGTAGGTATTACTAAGTCTGACAAATTTCTTTTTTAATATTAACTAAACTAATGTCTGGGAGAGAAATAAACAACAACTCACATGAATCGTTTTTGTTGAGCTTTTTTATTCACTCTAAACGTTTTTATTAAAATTTGACCCACCTTGGCCTGATCTAATAAAGGTTTAAATGCATGGAAACAGGTGCAAACTTGATAGAGCATGCAAAACTGATCAACTAACCAACCCGAGCCATTTAGTGCATTTTCTATCATGAATATGGGTTTGAAAATATGATAGTTGAAATGTGTAATGTACAGAAAGCTACATAAACAAATGTAGGTACCTACTCGCTGGAAAGAGATTAATTAATCCTGAAACAAACTGCAGTTGCAGTTTCTACGTCTATAATTAAATATTTTGAAAGTTGCAAAATTTAAGTTGCATGTAAAAATATTTGCAGTCATTGTGGTAAGAAGGAGACATGCAAAAACAGACTACAGAGAGAGAATCAGCTTTGGGAGCGTTTGCATAATTGGTTGTAAATTGAAAAAGTAGAGACATACCGGCTATCTTTCAATTTTATTTTTGGAAAAACCCCTTGTTATACAGTGTTTTTGTCTGATTGGAGGACTGATTCTATTATACCATTACAGTAAGAGTCATCTCCCAGAGTACTCATTTGAGTGTTCTCTCAAGCTGTACCGCGGTAATTGTAGGGGGATGGGCGATGTTGCGTTTGCTTGCACTTGTCTAATCATACTAATTATCACAATTATCAGATCAAGAAAGATTGTCTGTCATTGTGTCCCTGGACAAGACACATCAGCTATATTGCCTACTGATGGTGGTCGGAGGGCCCAGTGGTCCCTCTGTATGGCAGCTTTCCTTTTTTCATTGAGCCTCAGGATAGCTGTGGCTACAATGCAGCTTGCCACCATCAGTGTGTAAGTGAATCTCTGAATCTTGTCTGAAGCTTTATGAAGCCTGCTGACTTAATTAAAAAGGTGATATAGAGGGCATACGCTGTGTGATTTTTTTCAATCGTTGCACGCAGCTACAGCTCACACTGTACGATGAAAACCACTGGGTTTCGTCGTACAGTGTGAGTTCACACCTCACAATATATTTTCTCACACTGTGCGACCCGACCCCTGATGCGATCTACCTGCTCACACTGTACGTTTAAAAACCAGCTCCCCAGTGAACGCCTCTTGGACTCATTTATCTGGAAGCCAAACAAGTAGAAGAGGAATATGAAGCTCACGGGTGAAATGCAGTTGTGCAATTTTGTGCTGAAAGCCCTAAAAAGAAAAGGCAATGACATATTTAGACCAAGACATGGCTGAGCAAAAGTGGCTACTACAGTCTGTCAATTTTACATAAAGAACTTCATTTTACGCGAACCCCCGCCATGCTTCGGGGTTTTATCTGAGAGGAAGAAGAAGAATCTTGTTTGCAATTTTCCCAAGACGCCTAACTGAATTTAAAACATGTTTGATTTTTCTCCCTACCTCACGATTCCTGATCGGGAGGTGGTCATGAGAGGCTGATCGCCCCTCATTACCCCTTGCACACTACATGACGCAGGATGCACGATCAAGCTGAAAGTTGGCCCGATCAAAAAATTCTCACACAACTGGAAAGGTGGCCCGAAAAGGGCAAAAAATCGTACAGTGTATGCCGGCTTAAGGGTGATCATTGATAAGAGATCCTTAAATATGTCTTCTACTTGTCATTATACAGATGTTAAATGTTTTTTTTGTTGTTGTTTTTGTTTTGGAGACCCCCTTTTTTAGAACAAATTTTTCCTCTACTAAACAAAAGCAAACAGCTTTGCAACTGGGTTGTCTGAAATCAAAAAAACGATCCTCAATGGTTGCTGCAGTTGGAAAATGTCAAATGCCATATGCTACGTTGGTGTTTGTGCCTCCAAGTCATTCAGTTATTTCATTTTCACAAACAAAGAAGGTCCTTTCTCTTCTCGTTTGCTGGCATCTTCTCCACATTGCAATCATACCTGCTATGTGTAGGCAGCGCTGGTAAAATTTGTGTCTGCCTTTAAGATGCACAAGATGGAGTAACACATGAAAAAAATGTTATAATGAATTTAGTTCATCCACAACAGTTTTGCTCCTGTTATCAATTGTGCTTGCAACCTTAGTAGATCACATGCAACATGCCCACTTGCTTGCACAAGTGATTTAGTTTATTTGGGTTCCTGGTAGTTTAGAACCTTTGGGTACAATTTCAGTATTATTTGATTTAAAAATTAATGGTATTATTTTCATATTGTAAGTCTGTTTGAGCTGCAGACTTTGCTGCCTGTATATTAGGACAGCATAAGAATGACCTCCAGAATAACAGGATGCTGATATAAGGATAATTGTATAAGCTTGTTTTCGTGGCTTATATAAAGTATATCATTGCAGAACATTCTTAAATGTTATGTATGCTTATTTTGATAATAAAAAATATCTAGGCGGGTTTCAAGTGTTGTTTTTAGAAATTAACTAGTTCACTATGTTTAGAAAAAAATTACTGTAAAAAAAACACGATTAGGCTTAGATCAGAATAAAAAGAAAAACAAAGTTAAAGATAAACAATTGTCAGAATTACTTAATCTTGTTGAAGAACATTACATCATCTAAACTAATATGTGAGACTTAACACAGTTTTGTTATCATCAACAGGAAGACCGTGTACTCAGCTACAAGTGTTGAACCCAGAACGATCAGCACGACTCATCAAGGAGATCCTTTCCACAGCTTGGCCAACAAGGGACTTCAGTGTAGACTGGGAACCTGGAAACAAAGAGCTAAAACATCCCACAGTTTTATGGTTAAAAATGATTTGGAAGCATCTCTATATCAATTTTCCAGATGACTTAAACACCTTTGAAGACATGCCTTTGATCCCTCTTGTGCCCCTTGAGGAAAGCATGAGTACAGCTAAGCTTCTTCGTCTCAAGACCCCCTCATCTATAATTCATGTGGATGAAGAAGAGGCACCAGTTTCTAAGATCCTCCTTGACATTCTGGAAAAGCTTGGAGGTGTTGTCATAAAAAAGCTGGACTCATGTTTGCAGCACCCCCAGCTTAAGTTCTACATCCACCCTTGCTCTCCGAGTATGATTTTGCAAGTTCTACATAGACTACCAACACAGCGGTTGTCCAGCCAAGTCTCATCTCTAACTGCAGAAGAGAAAATTGTGCTCAGGAAATTTCTTGCAGGACTCTCAGACATCACAGAAAAAGAAAAATATACAATCCTTGATCTCCCTATCTTTGAAAAAGTGGGGGTTCAAACTGAGGGTACCTCAGCATTCACAACAGTGAGAGGAGCGAAAGCACTACATCACAGAGCCAAGTATCCCCCAGATGTGAAACTGTCAGAAAATCTTGTGGCTTGCCATGATGAGGAATCAATTCGTCTCATCAAAATGCTCAACGTAGAACAAGTTAAAACAACAGACTGTCTGAAGATGATTATTAAGGACATTGACAAGGGATTCTACTCCAAAGTTGAAACTACCAAGATCATGCTTTGGGCTCTCAAACATTTGGGATTTTTAAAGAATGAAAACCCATCTGTAATTGGATGGCTGTCTGCTCTTAAATTCATAGAGTTGCCCTGTGGAAGGTCTGTAAAAGCCTCAGATGTTTTTGACCCTGAACTAGAAATTTTACAGCATTTGTTCTACAAGGAGGAGAAGATACGGTTTCCCACAAGTACATTTACAAAATCTTCGGATATTCTCCATTCACTTCGGCAACTGGGGCTTAGAAATGAGGTGCAGATCAGTGAAAAAGATGTTATCAAGGTGGCAAAAAAGATAGAGGAGTTGCAAAGCAATGTTGATCCTGAATGGGACTTGATAATCAAAAAGGCAAAAACACTCCTTCAAATTCTCAATAAACAAACCAAGTTGATAAAGTCAACAGATATCCAGGCATCACTGCTACAACTTAAATGGGTACCTGTTTGTAAAGAAAGACCTCTGACTTACCCGAAATCCCTTGCTTGGGTTGGAGACACTCACAACATCTGCTCTTTGTCTGAGATGTGTGAGTTATCCCATGCAGTACTGGTGGGATCTTCAGTAGCACTGGTTGAACACACCTCTGCAGGTTTGAAGAGGGCCCTGAAACTCACAATAGAGCCACAAGTGGATCAAGTATTACAGCACTTGAAAGCTGTGAATGACTGGCATAAATCTCAAGCATTCACCACAGAGGATTGGTACCATTTTCAACAGATTCTGTTTGAGATTTATGGATTCATGCAAGCTCACCTTGAGGATGCAAGAGAAGCAATGAAATCCTTACCTTTTGACTGGGTGTGGACTGGAAAGACATTCTCATCACCAGGCCAAACCGTCTTAAAACACCTCCCTGATCTAGACCTACAGCCTTTTCTCTATTCTCTGCCAAAAACAATGAGAAAATTTCACAAGCTTTTTAAGTTTTGTGGCTCAGTTGAAGAGGTTATACCAAAACACGTGTTTGATGTCATTGCCACAATCCAAAAAAGATGTGAAGGAGAGATTAGCAAGGAGGAAAGTAAACACAATATTCTTCTCTTGATCAACATTCTCAGATGGCTATACAACAATCAGATCCCAGTGGACACCAACATGCAAGTGCCTATTCTTTGCTACAAAAACCCAAGCAAGTTAGCAATGAAACCCATCCACGAATGCACCTACTGTGACATTAAGGTTGAGGATTTAAATGACTTACTCGAAGATTCTTCAGAACCAATTATATTAATCCATGATGACATCCCAATGAAAACTGCTGAATGGCTAAAGGTGCCATGCTTGAGCACAAGGTTGATCAACCCAGAGAATCTTGGCTTTGAACAATCAGGCCAACAAGAACCCCTAACAGTGAGAATAAAGAATATCTTGGAAGAATATCCATCTGTGGCAGACATTTTTAAGGAGCTCCTCCAGAATGCTGACGACGCCAGTGCAACAGAGTGCAGTTTTCTTATCGACATGAGGAAAAACAATGATATTCGCGAAAACCTACTTGACCCTGGAATGATCATTTGCCATGGGCCTTCTCTGTGGTCTTTTAACAATGCTGTATTTACAGACACAGACTTCTTGAACATCACAAGGCTTGGTGGGTCAGTGAAGAGATGTGAAGCAGACAAAGTTGGCAAGTTTGGCTTGGGTTTCAACTCAGTTTATCACATTACTGATATCCCTATCATAATGAGTAGGGAGTTTATGATCATGTTTGATCCGAATATCAATCACATCAGCAAACACATCCGAGACAGATCCAATCCTGGAATCAAAATCAATTGGAGCAAACAACAAAAAAGGCTGAGGAAATTCCCAAATCAGTTCAAACCTTTCATTAATGTTTTTAACTGCCAGCTGCCGTTAGCTCAAGACTCTCCATACAAGTACAACGGTACTCTTTTCAGACTTCCATTTAGAACAGAACAGGAGGCCTCAACAAGTGAAATCAGTAGTCTGTACTACAACACCACCGATATCTATTCCCTTGTTGATGAGTTCAGCATATGTGGTCATAGGTTCATTCTATTCACTCAGCATGTTGGATGTATGGTCTTGAAATATCTGAAGTTTGAGGAACCAAACCCAGCAGCAGCACAGGATGTAGTGGCCATTAACAAAAGTGTGTGGTCAAGCAAATCCTCATATGGACCCTTAAGCATCCTCAAATCTGCAGCAAAGCTCATGAAGAAAGTAGCAAGCACCAACAAGATTCCTGCTGATATTCCTAAGTCTGGCTGCATCATTCGTGTTATAGTGGAGGAGTTTCACAATGTGTTCAAACGTATTGTAGACCTCCACTCTCCTCTGTTCCGAGGTCCAGAGGAAGATCCCAACCAGTACTTTGAGATGGCAGCTAAAGGTGTCCAAACACGACGACTGACAGATGAGATGCCGCAAAAGGCAGTTGATGTTACTAACTGGCTAATCTGTTCATGCATGGATGTGAGTGAAGCCCTCAAGTTTTCCCTCAGTGACAGTGGAAAAAGACTTGGACTGGTGCCTTGTGGGGGGGTTGCTGTTCTGCTCTCAGAGGAAGAGAATCGGAAATGGACTGTTAAGACAAATGCTAACCCAATCGGGGAGGTGTTTTGTTACTTACCTCTCAGAATCAAAACAGGCCTGCCAGTTCATATTAATGGCTGCTTCGCTGTCACGTCCAACCGCAAAGAGATCTGGAAAACTGACACCAAAGGACAGTGGAACTCTGTGTTCATGAGGCACGTCATTGTCCAGGCCTACTTAGCAGCACTCTCAATGCTGCGTTCACTTGCTGAAAGTGGAGAACTGCTTGAGTACAGCTACTATGCAGCATGGCCAGATCCGAGCCAGGTACATGATGACTTTGTGCTGATTAGCCAGGGTGTTTATCAAGAAATAGCCAAAGGAGGTGACAGCGATCAGGCCAAGGTTTTCTCAGATGGAAAGACATGGGTGTCAATCAAATATGTCAGATTCCTTGATGACACCTTACTCTGTAGGCCAGATATTGGCCCTGCTGCTTTCAAGATCTTCTTAAAATACCTGAGGAGGAGTGGCTCGCAAAACCTCTGTGCAGTTGAGCTCCCTGACTGGGTAAAGGAGGGATTTGATGATGCTGGATGTAGGGGCAAGTTAATGGAAAACACCCTGACAGAGAGGCAATTCTTTTCCGAAGTCTTTTTCCCTCACATTCAGGAAATTGACAAAGAGCTCAGAGATCCCCTGATGCATTATGTCCTAAATGAGAAGTTGGAAGACTTTGAAACAATTCTAAGAGTCACTCCTTGTATACCTTGCTCTGGCCCCAAAAAGGAACTAGTTTTACCTTCAAAACTTATCCATCCAGAGGGAAGAGTTGCTAAACTCTACAGTGCTGACGATGGAAGATTTCCTGAGGGTACTTCCAAAGACTATGTCAATCCAGTCTGTTTAGTTAAACTGGTGCAGCTCGGCATGGTAAAAGATGATCTTTGCTGGGAGGATCTCACTGAGCGTGCTCATTCTGTCATTGAGCTAAATGAAAATGATCACACAGCTGCTTGCTTTCGCAGCAGTATCCTTCTAAGTCTCATCGATGAAAAACTTAGGATGAGAGATCCAGGAACAGCTGAGTACTTGGAGAATCTACAAGACATTAAGTTCCTTCCATTTCTAACAAGACCTGCAGGGTTCTCTTTACCTTGGCATGGGAACAGCTTTTCCCCAACCACACTGTTCTCTCCAAGAGAGCTCTACACAACTGAACATCAGGACACAGTGTGCCTGATGAAGCCAATACTAAATGAGAGTTCACCATCATTCAAAGGTTGTGGTGCAATGTCGTTGGCTGTAAAAGATGGTCTTGGCCTAATAAGGAAGCCCCCAGTTCAGCTTGTCATCAGTCAACTAAAGGAACTTTCTCAGTCTTTTGATGGCGTCACTTTGTATCAGGAAAATATTACAAATGCCTGTTACAAATATCTTCATGAGGAAATGTTACAGGATGAAAGTGTAAAAGGTCAAATAGGTGAAGAACTGAAAGCATTTAACTCAATTTTGGTGGAGAACACATATGTAAACCCTTCCAAAGTTGCTTTTCATTTGAATTTTGATGCAGCTCCCCATCTTTATCAGCTTCCAAACAAATACAGAAACAGTTGTCGTGAGCTCTTCGAAAATGTTGGAGTGCAGCCTAGTTTTACAGTTGGAGATTTCTCTGCTGTTCTTGAAACTGTGAGGCAAGAGTGTGGAAGAAAAACACTAACAGAGGAAAACTTCCAGTTGTGTCGCAGAATAATTAGTGAAGGAATCTGGAGCTTAATTCGAGACAAAAAACAAGAGTTTTGCCAAGCAAATTACGGAGGGAATCTGTTACCAGACTGCAATTTTACACTGCAACCATCTAAATCACTATGTTACAATGACTGCCCTTGGATCAAAGTCAGGGATTCATCTGTGAAGTACTGTCATGCTGACATTCCAAGAGAGGTTGCTGTGAAACTTGGAACAATCCCAAAACGTCATAAAGCCCTGGAGAGATATGCCTCAAATGTCTGCTTCAACCCACTCGGCAGTGAGTTTGGACAGAAAGAAAAGCTCACAAGCAGGATTAAAAGCATCCTCAATGCCTATCCATCAGAGAAAGAAATGCTTAAAGAGCTGCTTCAAAATGCAGATGATGCTAAAGCCACAGAAATCTACTTTGTATTTGATCCGAGGAGACACCCTACAGACAGAATATTTGACGATAAATGGATCCCAATGCAGGGCCCTGCACTCTGCGTATACAATAATCAACCATTCACAGAAGATGATGTTCGAGGTATTCAGAACCTTGGAAGAGGAACAAAAGAGGCCAATCCAGGCAAAACTGGTCAATATGGCATTGGATTCAATTCTGTCTATCACATAACTGACTGCCCCTCCTTCATCTCAAACAACGATATTCTTTGCATCTTTGATCCACATGCACAGTATGCACCAGGAGCTACATCTGTTAGTCCTGGAAGAATGTTCAGAGACCTGGACTCTGATTTCAGATCCCAGTTTTCGGATGTTTTGAATCTGTACTTGGGGGCTCATTTCAGGCTAGAGCGGAGCACGATGTTCAGGTTTCCTATCCGATCTCCAGAGATGGCAAAGACATCAGAGATCAGTTCTGTTCCTGCATCTGACAGAATGGTGCAAAATCTCTTAGATAAGCTGAAAACAGATGGTGCAGAGCTCCTTATGTTTCTTAACCATATGGAGAAAATATCAGTTTGTGAAATAGATGATGCATCTGGTGAACTTAAAGTGCTCTATTCTGTCACAGCTAAAATAACAGATGGTGATCGACTCAAACGCAAACAATTTCATGCCTCTGTCATTGACAGTGTGACCAAAAAGAAGCAGCTAGCTGCTATTCCAGTCCAACAGATAACCTACTCAATGGAAATAGAGGACACTGATGGACATATGACCTCATGGATGATCTGCAACAGATCTGGCTTCCCAGACATTGAAACTATCTCAAAAAGTGTGGTATCAGCACACAAAAATGAAGACATAACTCTGTTTCCACGTGGAGGCGTGGCAGCATGTGTAAGCCACAACTACAAAAAACCACACAGAGCCTTCTGCTTCTTGCCTCTCTCACTTGAAACTGGCTTGCCTTTTCATGTCAATGGGCATTTTGCTCTTGACTCAGCTAGAAGAAACCTATGGAGAGATGACAATGGAGTAGGGGTACGGAGTGACTGGAATAACAATTTGATGACATCCCTCATAGCCCCCGCATATGTCGAACTGCTGATTCAGCTGAAGCGTCGATACTTTCCAGGTCCTGATCCCACCATTACTATACTACAAGGAACACCTCTTCATGTTGTTAAAGACACACTGAGGAAATACCTATTTTTCTTCCCAGCCAACAGACTTGAAATTCAGCCAGACTGGTACTGCTTGGTTAAAGCAGTATACAACAGTATACATGCTGATCTAAAGCGATTGCTTCCTGTTGTAAGAGCAGCCCAGATGGACAACTCTGAAATGCACTCTGTAATCTACATCTCATGGGTGAATACATCCACTGCAAGCAAAGGCAGAGCCTTCTTTGACAATCTGCTTCAGGATGAGCTTCAACACTTGAAAAACACAGAGTACAACTTAACATCAAGAAAGTCTGTGGCTGAAAATGTGTACAGAGTGAAAACATTGCTTCTTGACATTGGCTTCAACCTAGTCCACAGCTGTGATGAAACAGCAAATCTCTACCTTTGTCTGGAGGATTCAGGGATTCCAGTCACTTATGTAACACCCAGTGATGTTCGCCACTTTTTGCAAACCTTCTTATCACCTGACACATCCTGCCATGTTGGAAAACTCCCCTGCCGCCTCCCACAGTCTACCTTCAAGCTGGTTCATAACCTAAAGCTACTGGTTGACTACTGTTTCAAAGACATAGAAGTGGATGATATCAAAATTGATGGCTTGCCTCTGTTAATAACAATGGACAATATGCTTCAAGTGTTTGACTCTAAGAGACCAAAGTTTTTGACCACTCACCATGAACTTATACCATCAAGGAAGGATATGTTTATGAATACATTGTACATGAGGTACAGCGACATCCTTTTCAAAGCAGGAGTTGCAAAACCCTTTGACATCAGCAGCTTTAGTGATTTGCTAGGGTCTGTTCTACCAAGAGAATATCGAACAAAGATCCCTGTAAAATGGAAAGATACCTTTCCCAGTGAATCCTGGTTAAAGAACGTGTGGAGTTTCATTGGTGAAAATGTGGCTGTTAAGGAGGAGCAGATGGACATCAAACCTAGCTTTGAAATGGTGCTTGACATTTTGAAAGACTGGGCTTTGATACCTGGAATCAAATTCATGGCAAGAGAGAGGATTGTTGTCCCAGATCATGATACACTCCTACCTCTTAGCCTAATAAACATTGCCATATTTCCACAGGGCCAAAATGACAAAGTCTTTCACACTCTAATGAAAGCAGGATGCATCCAGCTTGCAGTGAACAAAATTTGTGTCAAGGAGAATCAAGTCATACCTTCTTTGGCACAACACACAGCCAACATTGAAAACCCATCAAGTATTCTGCAAGCTCTGGAGTACATTATTCAGACATCTTCATTTAAAACAGCAAACCTCACTGACAAGGACTTTGAAGCTCTTCTGTTATATTTTAACTGCAACCTACCTAACCTTTCTCAACAAGATGTCCAGATCTTGAAACTGCTCCCATGTTTTAAGTCAGTCAGTGGAAGATACATCAGCATTGCTAACTATAGTGCAAACTATGTCCTTGAAAAAAACATACCAAATGCAGACATTGATAAATGGGCTCAAACACCTTCATTTGCCTTTCTTGCTGACAGCCAGCAGCTTAAGGAGCTGTATGCTTTCCTTGGCTGCATGTCAATCAATGACCTTGAAATTTACCTTCACCATCTCCTGCCAAAGTTTGATAGCCTCTCCTATGATGCTAAAGTTGAGCACATAGTCTATTTGAAGGAGAGACTTATGTCAATGGAAGAAGGTTGCAAAACAAAGGATCAACTTTATGAGAAATTAGAGGGGCTGTTGTTCATTCATGACCACTCAAACAGACTCAGACAAACCAAATATTTCTATGATCAGACTGTGAAGGTGTTTGAAGTGATGTTACCTGCAAAGTCATTCATACCAAGTGATTTTTTTAAGAAAGTAGAGCAAGTGACAAAACCTAAGAATGGCGCCCTGTCATTGACCTCGTGGATAACCTTTCTGAGAAATATTGGTTTGAAACATGAGGTCTCACAGCAACAGATTCTTCAGTTTGCAAAAGAGGTCAGCATAAAGGCACAGACTGAAAGTTGGACCAAAGAAAAAGTTCAAACCATTGTTGATGTACTTTTGAATCATATCTTCAATGAACGGACAGACCTCTTTCAGGGTACCTTTCTGAAGGAACTGTCAATGATTCCATTTCTCTGCCCTGAAAGAGCTCCCAAAGAGCTCATCAAGCTTCATGGTCAGTATCAAGAGATGAGTGGTACACTTCCTCTCATTCGTTTTAGTGGGTCTCAAGTAAACCCAAAGTTCAAACAAACAGATATTATACACTTGCTTTGGACATCTTGCCCAATCCTACCTGAGAAAGCCACACCTTCATGTATAAAGGAACAGGATGAAAGTACTCTCAGTGGGCAGGAGCAGCTTGATCAAGTGCTGAATATGTTGGGTGTCAACTTGGACCCACCTCTGGAGAAAGTCATAAGCAACTGCAAGAACATCTGTAACATATCTAACCCAGATGATGAAATGGTGAAAACTAGAAACAAAGTTTTGAGGTCCACCTATGAATTCCTCAGTGCAGACAAACGAGATTTCCGTTACCTGCTTCGCGGGGTGATGTTTGTCATGGTTGAAGATGGCTGGAAATTACTCAAACCTGAGGAAGTGGTAATCAATTTAGACAATGAATCTGACTTTAAGCCCTACTTGTATAAACTGCCTTTGGAACTTGGAACTTTTCATCAACTGTTCAAACTTCTTGGCACAGAGGATGTTGTGTCAACTAAACAATACATTGAGGTGCTGTGGAGAATTTACAGGAGTTCAGAGGGAAAGCAGCTAGACCCAAACGAAATGAGAACTGTCAAAAGAGTGGTCTCAGGATTATTTAAATCACTTCACAATGATCCAGTGGAAATTCGCAAAGATCTTGAGAGTCTCAGAGATTTAATATTTTATCTGCCAAGCCATGATGGAAGACTTGCAAAATCCAATACCCTTGTGTTTGATGATGCCCCACACTATAAAAGCAGAATTCAGGGTAATGTTGGGGTTCAGATGCTTGTGGACATGAGTCAATGTTATCTGGGGAAAGACCATGCTTTTCATACAAAGCTTATCATGCTACTTCCTCAGAAGCTAAGACCTAGACTATTGAGCAGCATTCTTGAAGAGCAGCTTGACGAGGATTCTCCAAAAATGTGTCAGTTCGGAGCGCTTTGCTCTCTGCAAGGCCGACTTCAGCTTTTGCTGTCCTCAGAGCAGTTCATCACTGGTTTGATTAGGATAATGAAGCATGAGAATGATAGTGCATACCTTGTCAATGAAGAAAAAGCCATACGTCTGTGCAAAGCGCTTTGTGAGGGACTGAAAGTGTCCTGTTTTGAAAAACTACAGACAACTTTAAGAGTGAAAGGATGCAGTCCCATCCTACACAGTCGCAGTGAAACTCTTGCTTTCCTAAAGAGATATGGGACATCTGTGATTCATCTCTATATCCAGCATTCAGACAGCAAAGATATAAACTTTCTTCTGGCACTGGCTATGACACTGAAGTCTGCTACAGACAACTTGATCTCAGACACATCCTATCTGATTGCAATGCTGGGCTGTAATGACATCTACAGAATCACAGAGAAACTAGACAATCTTGGTGTCAAGTATGACTCAACAGAACCATCAAAACTTGAACTACCCCTCCCTGGAACCCCAATACCATCTGAAATACACCACACATTGCTCATGGATCCAATGAATGTTTTTTATCCAGGGGAATATGTGGGCTACCTTGTTGACTCTGAGGGTGGAGACATATATGGTGCCTATCAGCCCACCTATACATATGCTATCATCGTTCAAGAAGTAGAAAGAGAGGAGGAAGAAAACACTAGTTTCCTTGGAAAATGCTTCCAGATTGATATTGGTTACAGCGAGTACAAAATAGTAAGTTCCCTTGACTTGTACAAGTTTTCAAGACAAGATGAAAGCACCCATATCCGAGATAGTAATTCCCCACAAACCCCTACAAGCCCAGAAAGTCGATCTTCTGGCTTACGCATGATTCCTCCTCTGTTCTCTGGTAAAGAAAACCTAAGACCACCTCCTCAGAAACAGTCTCCCAAAAAGATTAAACTTCACACGTTGCCTGAGATTCTGAAAGAGGTTACCTTAGTCATCGAACAAGCCTGGAAGCTTCCAGAGACAGAGAGAAAAAAGATAATCCGTCGATTGTATCTTAAATGGCATCCAGACAAAAATGCTGAGAACCTTGACATCGCAACTGAAGTCTTCAAGCACCTACAAAATGAGATCAATCGGATGGAGAAACAGTCTTTGACTGATCAGCAAAATGCAGACAGAGCTTCCAGGAGAACCTTCTCCACATCATCAACCCGCTTCCAATCAGACAAGTTCTCATTTCAAAGGTTTTATTCATCCTGGAACCAGGAAGCAACCAGTCACAAGACAGAAAGACAACAGTTCAGGGAACATTACACTAACTATGCAGGGTCCTCACATTCCCACCGTTTCTTTGTACCCCCAACCTTCAAGACAGTTGGAAACCCTGTTGAGGCCCGCAGGTGGTTGAGGCAAGCCAGAGCCAACTACTCTGCTGCTCGCAATGATCTTCATAAAAATGCTAATGAGTGGGTTTGTTTCAAGTGCTACTTGGCTACAAAGCTTGCCCTAATAGCTGCTGACTACGCAGTCAGAGGAAAATCTGACAAAGATGTTAAGCCAACTGCTCTGGCTCAGAAAGTCGAAGAGTACAACTCCCAGTTAAAAGGTCTTGCAAGTGATGTTCAGATCTTAGAAGGATATGGTGTGGACAGCCTGAGAACCCGTTACCCCGATCTTCTGCCATTTCCACAGATCCCAAATGACAGATACACATCAGAGGTGGCAATGAGGGTGATGGAATGTACTGCAAGAATTATTATAAAACTCGAAACATTTGTGCAGCAAAAAATTTGCTAGATGTATATTCTCAGTGGAATCAAGAACTCATATGGCTGTATGCAAAAGAGATCGCAAAGATTCCCCTGGCACTTTTTACTACATATGCAGTTTCTGTCTGTGAAAGCGGGACAGTGGCCCATGCACAGTAAATAAACACATGGCTTTCATAACATGTTGGCCTACATAAGTGCATAGGCTGTACATAGATATGCCTCAGCAATATGTTTTGTTTACCAAAGTCCCCACACTAACTATATTTGCTTTGTTAGTTTTAAAGATATGCAGCTTTTTGACTTTATCTTTTATAAAAACAAAAGTATATATTTTCTTGCTAGAGAAAACAAATTGAGTCATAAAAGATGCGCTTGTCAAAAAATATAAACCCTCTTAAATACAGTCACTGCTTTCTCGCAGCGTGCCCTTCTTTAATAGAGTTACAAGTCCAGAAATTACAGTCATGTTTGTAAATGTTCTGTTTTTGTACTTTTTTTCATATAATTTCTGTAAAAGTTGTACATTTCCTGTAACATAGCCAGTCACTTGTTTATGGACTAAGCACTTTTTTGAATTTCACCTGCATTTACACTTATGTAGCATCAGTGTCCTTGGAAACTTTGGAGAATCTAACTGTGAAAAGAAACACTTTATATTAATTTAATTAGTCTTTTTTTAATCACTGAAATGTATTACATCTGTGAACTTCCTGTACATTTTTCTGAATATGGAAAGCAAACACCTAATCATTTTGTTGCTGTGTAAGAGAGCCATATGAATTAGGAGTTATGCCGTGGGCCCAAATGCAATGTGTTACATTTTTTATTTTCAACCATGTCCATATGTTTTTGTTGTGAAAACTTGTCTTGTTTCAATAACATAACGGCACAAGTTTGCTCTGCTTGTGTTTATTAGCTGATTTAATGATCTGATTTGACTTTTATCTGATTTTAAAAATACACTCACACTGACCACATACTTTGTAAGTCATTTGCAATGAAATACGACCTAGAATATGGTAATCTGTTGTATTATTTTATTTCCAATGTCAGGAAACTCTTGTTATATTATGTCATTGAATGAACATTGAGTATCAAACATGCTGATGTGCACTGTGCCACAGTGAGGCCTAATAAATTCCCCTTAAACAAAGATGTTCCTGCTTCCTCAGCCTAGTTCCTTCTTTACTACCAGCACTATTTGGAAAGCACTTAATGTGGCGACCACTCACACTTCTGCCATGTCTTGAGTGCCCTGACTGATATGAGGTATTTTCGGATTGAGCCCTGGACTTGGCATGATGCATGAACATTCGTTCATGTCCCACCTCTGGCTGTACCCTTACGGTTGCTCCTGCTAGGGAAAGTTAACCTCTACCCCATTTCCAATTTTTTTAGCCTTTCTTTCAGGATTTTCCTTGTTAAATGTTGTTCATCTTCCAACTAACTCAGACCAGTTTCACTGTCACAATAAAAAATAGTTTCACAGCATAATGGTGCCACTGATATGTTTTATGATGTCAATGCTTGTTCAGGTTAAAATCAAAAGCTAGTTTTGCGTGTTTATCAAAATGTTTTGCTTTGGTCCTCTGACCAGAGGACCTTCTTCTGCTTATTCGATATTTACATGGCTTGTGGAAAGTTTAAATCAGGTTTATTCATTACACTCCTCATTAAAAAACTAGATTTTTAAATAATATGACTAGTGTCTCACTTCCTAACAAAGTTACAATGGGCTGGAGGCTGCTTCTCTTATTATCACTCTTCTTGCCCGGCCTGTCGGTGTGCAAGGATAGCCTGTCCTGGTAGGTTGAGCAGTGCTTAATGAGACATTGAAAGTTTCAGATATTTTGTTATATAATTCTTCTTTAAATTTCCTCTCAACTTTTCCTGGCCAGTCTGCTGTGCGCTTAAAATTTATGACACAGTTTGTTCTCAATCTAACAAAATTGAGGTCTCATCAAATCATCTGCATTTACACCAAGATGAAGTCACACAAAGTGATGTTCCACTTGTTAATTATGTGATGTATCACACACAGCCAGTTACACATTTTATTTAGGGTGATCATAGTTAGGAGGCTAATTTTCCCTGTTTTCAATGATTGAGATTGCTACGTTATAAAATGGGAAAAAAAGGAAAGGTGTGTGGAGGGCGATGAACTTTATCTACTGAAGATATTTAAAAAACAATGGTTTTCAGAAAGAAGACAAAGCAAAAGATCAGGTGTTTGGAATTCCCAATGCTGGAGAGCCACTACCACAGTCTAGACTTGAGTGAATTTGTATGTGGAATGTGTAAAAGAAGGATTTGTGGAGGAAAGATTATGGTGATGACAAGGAGGCACTCCAACCTCAAATATTTTGAGCTTATTACAACAGATAAACCATCAGAATATCAAAAGGAAAAAGCCTAGTAACCAAAGGGAGGGTTTAACTGCTTTAATGTCAATAAATCTTCATTTCCTTGACTGATTTTTGAAATTGCAAAATTTGAAACAAATGTTTAATCAGATTTTTCTCTTTTCAAAATGTATGCTATCTTACAGTGTTTATGTTAAGACATATGTTTACCTCATTTTCAATCAGAAATCAACTTATTGGTTGCATAATTTTAATTCATGATTTTGGCCTCAACTTTATGTCTCTCTTTAAACAGAAACTTATTTATGTAACTTCAGGTCCTCACCAGCAGAGGGCATCCCTGATCACAGCCATCCAGCAGTATGACAGACCATATTTCTGTTGTTCCTTTGTTTACCACTAAATCAAATGTAAAAAAGAAAGTGTCATCGGATCCAAATGAGGAAAAATACCCTTCAGAAAAAAAGAATACAGATTAATTCCACTGACAGGAAAATTGAAAAGCAAACCAACGTTTATTTACTATACAAAATGAATAAATAAACGTTACATTAATTTAAATATGCCAGACCTGAGTTTAGAGCTGCATATCACCTTTATTTTTCTTCATTTTTATCTCACAATGCCAACACAGCACAATCAATACAACAAACCCATAAAATAAATCATTACACACAAAAACTGTAGAAAATGTTGCCCTTCAGACACTTTTAGCAAACACCATCCATACTGCAAAGGCAAATGTTGAGCTCCTGTTCTCCATAAAATTTTAAAAGAAAGCACCCCTGATGCAAAGCACTGAAGCAGTTAGAAACAATCATTCCCCTTTCAATTCATTCAAGTATCCCTGACGAAGGTTTTAGTGTGTTTTGGTTCAGCTTCCATGTTTCATTTCCAGCTGACTTTAGACATTAAATCAGCCTATTAAACAAACAGGAGAGCCTAAGTTACATTTTTGTGAATCCATTCCCTAAACTAACCCCGTTAATTACATATTCCCAAGTAAGATCCCTCTCATGTGATACTGAACTGGTGATATTAACATATATTTTTTTAGTTTTTTTTTTAATATATATATACAAAATATGACAACATTGGACTTAAAAACAAAAACATGGTCTTTAAATTCTCTAGAGCAAATTCAAAACGTACCAATTCCCCCCTTCGTTAAATAAAGTCGCACTCTAAGACAAAAACACTACATACCAAGGGCTTGGAGGTTCTGATGAAAGCTAAATCACCTAAAATAAATATTTCTAAAATAAAATATTCTAGAACAAATTCATTCCCAGTTTTCCAAGGCCTTAACATGTATTCATTTATTTATTGCACCACAAGATAATATTGCATAGGATGTAAGCTGTTACCAGCTCCTCATTGCCCAGCCATGATACTATTCGTGTAAAAACATTCTTACAAATCTGTGCCGCACACCCTTTTAAACTGGAAAGCAAGTCGGCATCACTTCAACTGTAAAATATGTATTTCTGGGAATCTGTGACATGCGTGCCAAAAGCATTTTTTCATTTTACACGACTAGATATGCAAGTGGGGAAACCACAGATCCACTTGGGTATGAGCTTTAAAAAGACTAGAAAGGAAGCAAACTTGCGCTCCATATAAACAGTTGTGCTTGTTGCCTCCCAGAAGATCCATCTTCAGAGAGATGAAAAGTCGATGACCTTGTCAGAGTCTGTCTAGCAGTCCTGATTCTCGCTGCAAGTGGAAGTCCTCCCAGCCTTGGACAGGAAGAGCTTTCCACTGGGACAGACACAGACCTCATAGAGACCCTGAGTATTTCCAGAAACGCCTCCCTTGCTCAGCGGCAGGCTTGGCATGCGCACCGTCTCAGCATCCAGCACCAGCTGCACAATTAGGAGAACAAGTTGCCATAGCTCAGGATTCATTCTTCAGTCAGTGAAAGGAAATAACACATGGACAAAGGAAAGTAGGATGAAGTAGAGGATTATGTCCAAGCAGTCCTTTTGGGATGTTAGAGTATATACACTGTGATAATTCAACTAAGATAACTTTTATTAATCAATCCAAATTATTAATTAGTTATTCTTCCACTTGAATAAATACATGATATATAATAATAACATACACTATATTGCCAAAAGTATTTGCTCACCTGCCTTGACTCACATATGAGCTTAAGTGACATCCCGTTCCTAATCCATAGGGTTCAATATGACGTCGGTCCACCCTTTGCAGCTAGAACAGCTTCCACTCTTCTGGGAAGGCTGTCCACAAGGTTTAGGAGTGTGTTTATGGGAATTTTTGACCATTCTTCCAGAAGCGCATTTGTGAGGTTGCACACTGATGTTGGACGAGAAGGCCTGGCTCTCAGTCTCCGCTCTAATTCATCCCAAAGGTGTTCTATCGGGTTGAGGTCAGGACTCTGTGCAGGCCAGTCAAGTTCATCCACACCAGACTCTGTCATCCATGTCTTTATGGACCTTGCTTTGTGCACTGGTGCACAGTCATGTTGGAAGAGGAAGGGGCCAGCTCCAAACTGTTCCCACAAAGTTGGGAGCATGGAATTGTCCAAAATGTCTTGGGATGCTGAAGCATTCAGAGTTCCTTTCACTGGAACTAAGGGGCCAAGCCCAGCTCCTGAAAAACAACCCCACCAGTGATGGGACTAACGGCGTTGAAAGTAACGGCGTTACTAACGCCGTTACCTTGTTTTAGTAACGAGTAATCTAACTAATTACTTTGACTGTAACTATAACGCAGTTACCATTGCAGGCACCCCGTTACTGCGCGTTACTTAGGTCGCGCAATGAACCTTTTTTCATGATAGGACTCGTGCGCAGCTGCGTGAAGCTGACACCCCACCCACGTCAAAAAACTCTGCAAATAGACTGAATGGTTAGTGCAACGTTAGTGCAGATTTGTGCAGAAAAAAATATTGTTTGTGCTACTTTTGTTTAAGAGATATTAAAGATTTATTTTAGGTCATCCAGAGGTGCGCGCCTTGTCATGAGAGAGGGGAGGACGAGATTCCGTCTGTCAGTTGAATAGGTGGGTGTTTCTGCTGGCGGGTGTTATAGTACAGCACACACAGAGAGATGGAGAGTGAGGATGACTCCAGCAGCAAAACAGCGTTTTCCACATGGAAATACCGGTGTTACGTAGAGCTGCGTTTCCCCATCACATAACGGTTTCCTCTGCATCTCCACACAGCGCAGGCGGCACGAGTCACCGCGCAAGCGACAGGAAACGCGCATGCTCGCTAAAGGCGCGCAACAGTCGCTCTGTGCTCGCGCCACAGGAGAAGTATGGAGAGCGTGAACGATCAAATGAACCTGACAACAGCCAGAAATGATAGCCTATATGGAGAAAGGGAGAAATCTGGATGGATGGATGGATGGATGGATGGATGGATGGATGGATGGATGGATGGATGGATGGATGGATGGATGGATGGATGGATGGATGGATGGATGGATGGATGGATGGATGGATGGATGGATGGATGGATGGATGCTCTGCCTTCTCAACCTACTGTATTTTTTATTTTAAACATTATTTGATGGCCTTTGTGGCAGGGATGGAGATCCATATTTTATGTCACACACAGAGTATACATCTAGATAGATAGATAGATAGATAGATAGATAGATAGATAGATAGATAGATAGATAGATAGATAGATAGATGTTGCAGTATCTATAACAACCCAAACACACAGGATTTCAGAATTAGACATCCCCAGTTATTAATTTCATATACTCACCAGATCTGAATGTCCTGTTATAAAACTTCACATCGCGTTCCCCCT